GGCGGGAGCGCCGCCGCGCTTCCCAAGCGGCGCACTATCCAGTGCGCCACCGGTCCGGCCCTTTTCTAACTTTTTACTATGAAAATTTTCAAACATACAGTAGAAAGAATAGAACAATGAACATCTGTATACACTCCATGCATATTAACAACTGTAAATTATAGACATCATAACACTTCAAATCTAATACTTCAGCACACATCTCCAAATGACATTCTCCTACATAACTACAGTATTATTTTTTTTTATTTTTTTATTTTTTGTCTTTTTTGTGACCAGTAAGGGGATCGCAACCCTTGGCTTGGTGTCGCCCGCACCGCACTTAGCCAGTGAGCATCCCGGCCATCCCTATATAGGATCCGAACCTGCGGCAGGAGCGCCGCTGTGCTCCCAAGCGCCGCACTCTCCTGAGTGCACCACAGGGTCGGTCCATAACTACAGTATTATTATCACATCTAACAAAATTCCCTAACATGCCAGTCCATATTCAAATTCCCCCAACTGCCCTAAAAATATCCTGGATAGCTTTTTTAAACCAGAAAACAAAGACCACACATTATGTTTGATTGTTTTGTCTCTCAAGTATTTTTTAATTAAAGCCTTACTTTGAGACATGATGGAAAAATCTTAATAAGTACACATGGGAAAAGTAAGACATGATCACAGTTGAGTGAAGACAATCTAACCAGAAAGCCTGTCAGCTAATGTAGAAGCTGAAATTTTGGGAGTATGACAAGCTGCAGGGTTGAAAGAAATGGATAATTAGTATTCCTCTCCTTCCTCACCCTCCTCTTCAACAGAATCCACACCAGCCTCCACATAATTCTTCTGAAGGACAGTTGTGTCCTCACCGGCCTCAGAAAACTCTCCTGTCTCCATTCCTTCATCCACATACAAGCGAACAATGGCACACTTGGCAAACATCAGGGCAAACTTGTGGTCCAGTTGAGCCCAGGCCTCAAGAATGGCTGTGATATTGCTCAGCCTGCACATAGCTTGCTGTAGCTTGGACAGGTCTCCACCATGTACCACAGAAAGAGGCTGGTAATGAATGTCAACCTTGATGTCAGTGGGGCAAAAGTGTACAAACTGGATGCTGTGCTTGGTCTTGATAGTGGCAATGGCAGCACTGACATCTTTGGGAACCACATCACCATGGTACAACAGGCAGCAAGCCATGTGTTTGCCATGATGAAGGTCACATTTCACCATGTGGTTGGCTGAATCAAAACAAGCACTGGTGATCTCTGCTACAGAAAGCTCAAATATTTGTAATCTTAAGAAACTAGGCAAATTATCTCGTGAAAGTACTTTTTAAGCCATCCTCTTAACCTCACATATCTGACCTTGCACAGAGAGAAAACTAAATAAGGTATGATAGTCTACTAGTATTTGACTTTGGGTGCCTGGAAAATAAATAATTTGACACAAAATTTAAGTTGACAGAGGCAACTATGAGCCAAGTGTCTTAATCTAATAAGCAATGGATAAGGTGAATGCATCAACTCCCATGTCAAAGCTGAAGAACTGATGCCCTGAAAATGTCTTAATATTAGTTATGGTTTTGCTGAACTAGTTTTTAAATAGTCTAAATGTCATAGATAGCTAGAAGAAAAGTTATTTGTGACAAACAAAGGTAATATAATGCTAAGATTTTGGCTTATATCCTATAAAGTTATTCCTAAGTTATTGCTACATTTGCCTAAGTGTCTTAAACTACAAACGTGCTCTAAATGATAGTTTCAAAATGAGTAACTTTATTTGGCATATGAAGTCTCTAAAAGTTGGAGAGAATCTTTATTTACCACCAAGAAATTAAAATAACAAAATGCATACACTGAGGTTCTTTTTGAGGAGGAAGGGGATATTAAGTCCAAATCAATTAACCTGAAAATATTTTCTTTCAAATATCTAAACCTGGCTGTCCAACATGGTAGCCACCAGCCATGTGTGGCTACTTATATTTAAATTAATTAAAATGAAATAAAAATTTTTTTTTTCCTTTTTGTCTTTTTTCGTGACCGGCTACGGATAGCAACCCTCAGTGTCGCGCCCGTACCGGACCGGGACCGGCAACGGGATCGCAACCCTCGGTGTTGCTCCCGTGCCTCGCTCAGCCAGTGAGCAGCCGGTCTGTATGTGGGATCCGAATCCTCGGCGGAGCGCCGCCGCGCTTCCCAAGCGGCGCACTGTAGCAGTGCGCCACCGGGCCGGCCCAAATACGAATCCTCGGCGGAGCGCCGCCGCGCTCCCAAGCAGCGCACTGTAGCAGTGTGCCACTGGGCCGGCCCAAAATGAAATAAAATTTAAAACTAATTTTCTCAGTTGCACTAGCCACATTTCAAGGTTTCAGTAGCTACACATGTGGCTAGTGGGTATATTATAAGGTACAGATACAGAACATTTCCCTGATCACAGTTCTATTGAACAGCACTGATTTAGATGATTTCATGTGTATGATTAACTCTCCAAAGAAAGAGTAAGCTCCTGAAAGGTACAGACTTTCTACTTGTTTTACAAACAACATTAAGAACAGGGTAGTTCTAAACAGATAAGTGAAATGTTTTATGGAGAAGACACAAAGGGGATTCTCTGTGAAATTACTCATCTAAAAGAAGAAAACACACTGGGGATGGACAATTTAGACTCAGATGCGTGGTCTGGACTTTTCTATACAGAAAAAAAATCCAGGAGAGAGCATGATGCCATGCTTTGTCTCCCAAAATGTAGTTAGTATCTCTTTGACACGTGAGATGATTTTACATGGTGCATGGACCAACATTTTTAGATAAACCTTAGAATAACTATAAAGCTATTAGAGCACCCACCAACACCTAATGTCATAGATATTGCTTCTTAGTATAAGTTTTATTTTTTAAAAAGGTAAGCAAAAAAAGAAAAAAATATGAAAATAATAATATAGATACAACATACATATGGCAAAAATTGTTAGGAGTTAAGTAAATGGAACACCAGCATAGTGTCAAGAGTCTGGGGAACCTACAGATCTGATTTTGAGCTATGTAGTTCAGTAGAAGGCTATTTGTCTTTCGAGTGCAGTAATCTTGGATATTTTGTTTTCTTGAAGCCACTGACACATCTGTAAAATGAGGGTACTCCTTCTAACCCTACTCAGCTACCCAACCATTGAGTGATAAAACATAGTATACATACTAGCACTCAATGAATGTGGATCTCCTTCCCCTTCCCAAGGAAGAGATGAGATAGTCTATCTATGCCATTTGACAAATTAGACTAAACTTCAGGAGAAAGGAGATTCCTATTAAACTGGGACTTAATTGATCTTCCTCCTCACAGGGAAGGGCAGAATGCTGAAATGACAGGGCTAGGGAGAAGGAAGCTCTAAAGACCAGGTCTGCATCGAGCAACCCAGATTAGCAATCTGGGGCCTTGCTATGGTAGAACAGGGACTTTTGGTCTTTCCTTACCTGAACATTCCCTCACGTTGTGGTGTTTCCTATTCTCTGATCCACACTGAACAGACTGTTGCACACTTCAGATCCCAGGGTAACGCTTGCCTCTCTCCTGGGACAAACTCTGCATGACTTCCCATAACCTGGATGCTGTTACTTGATCCAATCTCTGCTCCCTGCAAGTAAAAGGTTCAAAAGTAACTAAGGTCCATTAGGAGATTCGATATGTTTCCTCTTCCAGCTCCATCCTTAGCCCAGAAGCTCAGGCAGGAGACCTCAGGTGAGAAGTTCTTTCTCTCTGAGGGGTTCCTGACCGCCTGCAGAACTGCCACTGCCTTCACCCTCAACATCCTTACTTGTCCAGTGCAGCCCGGACTTGTGGGCTCAGAGGGCGTTTGCTTTCAGGGGGGGACCTTTCCTCTGGCCCCAAATCACTGTCTCCCCGGGAGTGCTACTCATGCCCCAAAGCATACTGAGCACTTCCCACAATGTCCTGGAGGAGCCGGAATATGAGCAAGGAGTCGCCGGCCTTAGGAAGGGGTCCCAGCCGACCGCCGGGTCTTCTGAAAGCCAAGGTCCAGAACGGGAACCAGGCCTGCGAGGCGAGGCGAGATGAGCCGCTGCTGGGGAGCTGCTCCCACCCGGGGAGGGGGACGCGGCAACCGCGGGGAAAGATCCCTGGGCCCCGAGGCGCAGTCTCCTCGGCCCCCACCCCTACTCGCCGACTTTCTCCCAACCTCAGATGTTTCTCCGAACCCCGGACTCCACCTGGCTCCGCCACGGCCTCGGAACTGCTCCCGGACTCCTCCCCAGACGAACGTGAGAAAGCAGCGCAAAGACACCTGCCAGCGCCGACCGCCCTACGCAAACTTACCCAGAGCCCAGTCCCAGAATGCCCAGCGACTGCCAAGGCCCGCCCTTCCCAGAGGCCTCCGCGGCGCCGCCGAGTCCTCGCGAGACAGTGGCTGAGATGGGAAGCTGGGTCCCTGGCGGAGGAGGGTGCTGGGAGCGTGAGGGGCGTCTTCTGGGAGTTCTCTAATGCTGGGCGGTCCCTGCCTGTGCGCCGCCGTCTGCGGGCGGAACCACGCTGTCACCTGAGCTGTAAGCTCACTCTCGGCCGGGCTCTCTCGGCTGCTGCCAGGCTAGTCCGGGACAGGTCTGGGCACATCCCTTCCCCCGGTGCATCTGGCGTCGGCGCGCTAAGTGCTACACCTTGGCTTTGCCGCTCCTGGAGTCTGTATCCCCATCTGAGCACCTCGCACCAGCCTTCCCAGATGAGAGAACAGCCACGAACTCACTTTTGAAAGATACTGGCGCTCCCCTCATCAATGTCTTTTTTGTTTGCTTATTTTTAACCAACGTTTTTATCGGGAAATACAACATAGTTGTATTCTGAAATGTAAAAGAAAGGGAAATAGAATAATTATTGAACAGACATGTCATCATTAGAGCAGAAGTGGAAAAGTGTCAGGCCCTTCCCAAGTACACTTCCCGAGGCAACCACTAGCCTCAATTTTATGACACTTCCTTGCTTTTCTTTACAGTTTTATCACCCATATTTGGAAACTTGATTTATGACAAAGGCAGCATCGCACAGGGATGAAGAAAAGGTGGTCTTTTCAACGAAGCTTCTATGACAATATGGTACCCTTATGACAAAAATAAAAAATGAGACCTCTATCTCACTTCATCACAAAAATCAATTCCAGGAGGTCTAAAGGCCTAAATATGAAATGCTAAACTATAAAGCTTTTAGAATATAGGAAAATATCTTTTGGACTTCAGAATTGGGAAAAATAAAAGTAGAAAACATTAAATTTAAACTACAGAGGACATTTTGTGCAGTTGGGAAAATTTTAAAGTAGTTTGTTTTTGCATAATGTAAATCAATTGTAGATATCCAATGGGACGCTGAATGTAATGTTCTGGAGCTCAGGAGAGATTTCTAAGATAGAGACGTAGATAAGAGACGTGGAAGTGTTGGGATGTCAAGAAGACCGACCAGACAAAATGTGTTGCTAGAGAAGAGAATATGCCTCATGACACAGCCCTGGGGAAGAACATTTCTGTGATCAGCAGAGGGAGAAGTGCCTGTAAGGTAAAGAGAATGAACAAACAAGCACTGAGAACAGGCCAAGCCAATGGGTAGGCTCTGAAGCATCACAGAAATACCTCTTGGGGCAGTAGACCTAAGAAATAAACGCCTTAAGAACAGCAAAGGGGACTATATTCAACCAATTAAAGGCAGCTGTTTGGAAAGCTAGGATAACAAAATTGGAGAAAAGATGCTAAAAAATGTGACTCAGGTAAAAGGATATGAGAAATTAAAGAAGGGGATTCTCCATTTCTTCATCTATAAGATTATATGTTTAGATTAGGTGAGTTCCTAGACCCCGCCCAGTTCTAAAGAATTAAAAAGGGGATTCTCCATTTCTTCATCTATAAGATTATAGGGTTAGATTAGGTGAGTTCCTAGACCCCGCCCAGTTCTAAAGTCTTGATCCTATGAGCTGACATAAATTAAAGAAGGGGATTCTCCATTTCTTCATCTATAAGATTATATGTTTAGATTAGGTGAGTTCCTAGACCCCGCCCAGTTCTAAAGTCTTGATCCTATGAGCTGACATTTAAGAATGGGTAGGATTTGCAACTCTATGAACAGTAACCCCTTCTGCTGGGATCTGCTCTCCTGCCCTTCCAGCCACCACCCCATTCACAGTTCCCACAGAAGCTGAGATTCTGCCTACAGTTGATTTGTTTGTGGGTGGGCACCTGACCTAGCTGGGCCAATAAGAATCCTCCCCCACTCCCAAAGAAAAGAATAAAAAATGAAAAAGAAATAATAAAAAAGAATCCTTCCCCAGGAATTTGAGACTGGAAGAAAGAGAAGACAGCTTTTCCCTGGATAATTGAAGCTGAATATATGTAAAATCTGGAACTGATCGTAACCATGATTTGCAATGAGGTGCTTAAAAAAAAAAGGCCAGAATGAAGGAACAGAAGCAGAGGTGAGAGAGAGAGAAAACTACCTGGGTTTTTGAAAAGTGCTTCAGGTTCTGGTCCCAGTACACTGTTAGCATGTATTGCAATCCCTGACCCCTGAACTCCATGATATACCCCTCTAATAATATCACTCTAATAATATCTTCCTTTGAGACTTAAAGTAGCCCTAGTTGATTTCTATTTGCAATCCTAATAGTCCTAACTAATACACTGAATTTAGACAGAGCTCACATGGGAAAGAGAAAAGTAAATGGAGATGAAGCTGTAAGGTAGGACAAAATATAATGGGAAATCTTTAGTGCCAGACTTTGGATTATAACTGTAGTAGTGGCTGAGCTGAGGGGAGATCTATAACATTTACAGAATCACTAAAACTTTAATAAAATGATATCAGATTGAAAAAATAACGTGTACAAAATCACTGTGGTCCTGGCCTTGGTGCTCAGCTTTCACAACATAATAAGCAATGTTAACTAATTAATGTCTTCATTAACTAGTGCTTATTAGTAAGTTGTGTCCCTCCTGTCTCTCCCCATGTGTTAACTATAACTCCCTAACACAATCATCCCATAAAGTATTACACACAGCCAGGCAATCATCGATAGTAGACCCTACCATCCTAATTACCCTGTCTCAATTGTCAGTTCTCCTCCATTCCAATCAAAGAGGTTGCAGCTAAGATTATATTTGCTCAGTTAAGTGGATCAGTTTCTTTAAAGGGACTCTTGTCCATCAGTTTCAGCCTCAGAAGTCAGGGACTGGAGCAGTTGGTGGAAGTATGTCTCCTCCTTTTCCAGAGAGAGAATTTGCTGGGCTTGGCTACTATTCAAGAAGATGCAGTCTCCTCTCTGGCTCCAGGTTTGGTGAGTGCTGCTATTTCTGGGGGATGCAGCTCAGCTAGTACTTCTAGACCGTGTTGCTGACACAAGCTGATGCTTCTTTGAGGGCTCATAGGGATTGTTGGTCCAGTAGGTGCTTCAGGACCAGATATGGCTCCTATCTTGCAGATGTAAAAATAAGCTGGCCCAACCTCTGTGGACTTCAATTTGCCAATATCCGTCATACAAATGTACATACCGCCTAGCACAGAAATTCCAATTCTAGGTATTTACCCTACATATGTACTTGGGTGAGAAATGAAAATGCCTAAGACTATTCATTGCAATGATGTATAAACACAAGACTGGAAATAACCCAAGGCCGTCTGTAGTGAACTGGCTAAAGTACATTCATACCATGGAATACTATATAGCTACAAAAAAGAATGAGTAGGCACTTTATACAGTGAAGTGAAATGACCTCCATGATATAATGCTGAGTAATAAAAGTAATGTGCAGATGTGCTTGCATAGGAGGCTGCCATTTCTGCTTAAAAAGAAAAAGGGAACTCTGTATTGTCTTGGGAGTAAATTTAAAAATCTGTAAGCATGCATAAAAAATTAGTTATAAAAATGGTTGCCTCTAGCTAGTAGAACTTGGTGGTGGTAAATGGAGGAAAGAGGCTTTTCACTGTATACAATTGCCTGTGCCTTCTGAACTTTATACCACGTGAAAACCTTCATTAAAAAAGTAAAATTTTAACTTAAAAAAATAGGAGTGGTAATATTTTAAATAATATGCAGTAGTTCCCAAGTGCTGTCCTGTAAATTGTGAATTCCCATAAAGAACAATTTATTAATCTACCATAAACCAGAAAAAAAAAAATGTGAATTTTTCATAATGCCAAATTTATTTAATTTAAAAGGACCAGATTTTCTTCTTAAGTACTATGGATAGAGGTGTTAACAGATAGTGGTTATCAATGTAGTGGTTATTTACACAAGGGGCATCATTATATCACTTCCTCAAATTTATCTGAGTCCTGAAATTTTAAAGCATAGAATCACTGATTTAGACTTGGCTTTTGTTCTCATGTTGAGTATTTGTTTTTACACACTATTTTGGAAGGCATTTCTTCTGTGTATTTCATAGTGTCGACTAAGTGATGAATTGTAGCTGAAGGCTTTTCCACATTCATTACATTCGTAAGGTTTTTCTCCAGTGTGATGTCTCTGATGTTTCTTAAAGGATGAGTCATGCCTATAGGCTTTTCCACAACGGTTGCATTCATATGCTTTCACTCCTGTATGAACAGTTTTATGGTTGCTAAGGTGTATCCTCTGCCTAAAGGCTTTCCCACATTCCTTACATTTGTAGGGTCTCTCCCCAGTATGGATTCTCTGATGATGTGTTAGATATGCTCTGTGACTAAAGGTTTTAAAGCATGCAGTACATGCATAGGGCTTCTCCCCAGTATGAATTCTTATATGTTCACTAAGGTGTCTAATCTGTCGAAAGGTTTTCCCACATTCACTGCAAGTAAAGGGTTTCTCCCCAGAATGAGTCCTCAAGTGCTGGATCAAGCTAATGTTCTGGCTGAAAGCTTTCTGACATTTATCACAGACATAGGGTTTCTCCCCAGTGTGAGTTCTGTGATGCTGATTAAGTGATGAGCGATGTCTGAAGGCTTTGCCACATTCTTCACATTCAAAGGGTTTCTCGCCAGTATGGATTCTTTGGTGTGTACTTAGGGATGCACTTTGACTAAAGGCCCTTCCACATTCCTTACATCTGAAAGGTTTCTCACCAGTATGTATTCTCATGTGCTCAGTAAGGTGAATGGGTTGTTTGAAGACTTTTCCACATATATTACATCCATAAGTTTTTGTTCTTATAAAACTTGTTGGATGACTAATCAAATCTAATTTGTATCTGTTCCTCTTCCTAGGTGTATTGCATTTATGTTGCTTCTGTTCTCTGATAATATTTGAGCTCACAATGGTATTTTCCCCAAATTTGTTAGTTTCTTGGCCTCTCTTCTTGTGGGTCAAGATGGCTCGTCTCACATCTCTCCCACAGGTTTCCTGGTGCCTTTCTAATGTATCATCGTATCTTGAGACTTTTCTCAATGTGGAATGAATGATATCATCCCTCATGAACTTTTCCATCATAATGTCATGATATAACTGTTGCTGTGAAATGTCATTCTTTGCAGTTGACTCATTAGTTTCTGTTTTACTCTTCAAGTCTGAAAGAAATTTAAAAACACAAATAACATATTCATTATGCTTTGAAAAATCAATTATGGTGTGGTTGTGGAATGGAGATTTAGATAACAATACATATCAGTACATGAGATTTTTAATATATTTAAATAAGGTTATGCAGCCTGGAGAGGTAACAGAAGATGAAATTAAGAAACAGTGAACAGGTTAATAATGTCATTTTATATATAGTAAAATTGAGTCTTTTAGGCCTGCTCTAATAATACTAACAAATAAATTTCAGAGATAAATTTCAGAGGTATGTGTTAAGAATACTCATATAAATCTTTTTTATTTTGGACAGCTGGCCGGTATGGGTATACAAACCAGTGATCTTGTTATTATAAGGCTGTGCTCTAACCAACTAAGCTAACCAGCCAGCCTATATATGTTTCTTATATTGACAACTACTTCTGGACAAAAAACAATCTCAGAAAAAGATGTCCCTCTCCCCACTCCAGCAGTAGCAGGAGACACTAGTTCAAAACATGGGGTTTGAAGTAAGAACATTATGCTATCTTTCATTGAAACTTCTATTAATATACATTGTTCTGCTTTCTGTAGTTATTAATATATCCATTGAAATGTTATTTATACAAAGGAGACTTGTAAGAAACCAAGACTGCTATGTTGCTACTGCTGCTCGGTTCTAGGAAAATATCATTTAACCTTTAAAATTATGACTAGTTTTCTTACTTAGTAATTTGTTGCACCATTACTAATATTTCAACTGACAGGTCTGTATTCCTGAAAGGTTTAACTTCTTGTAAGATTTGTTGGTCAACACAGAAGGATCACTAGCACTTCCATATCCCAAATCCTAAAGGAACAGAGGCAATAATAAAAATCTATGCTCTACAGGACCCTGACTCTGGTCCTGAATAGGGGAGGAGGAAGAGAACACAAAAGGGGAAGAGAAAAGAAGATATTTGTGTACCCCTCCAAAATTCAGTATCCAAGTCTGAAGCAAGCCCAAGTGAGGGGAGAAGAGAAGATTTAACTTTGAATAAAGTTGGAAGATTTTATTATTACACTAAACTAAATAAAAAGTTTATTAAAATTAAGACTATTCTTATTATTTATTTATTTATTTATTTTATTTTTTTTTTTTTTAAAGATGACCAGTAAGGGGATCTTAACCCTTGACTTGGTGTTGTCAGCACCACGCTCATCCAGTGAGCAAACCGGCCATCCCTATATAGGATCCGAACCCGTGGCCTTGGTGTTGTCAGCACCGCACTCTCCCGAGTGAGCCACGGGGCCGGCCCGACTATTCTTATTATTTAAAGGGACTCGACCATCTGAGGAACCTTTTGAGATTTCATCTAGAGGTAGGGAAAGAAATATATGGTAGGTTTTATTATTATTTTCATTATTATAAGTCGAAGAAGAGAAAACCCAGGAGAATATACAATTATTGGAATTAATAACAGAGTGAAACAAAGTAACTGCCTATAAGATCAATATTTGAAATCAGTTGTGGTTACAGCATGGTGTTGTTACACTAACATCAAAGATTTGGATCCCTGTACTGGCCAGCTGCCAAAAAAAAAAAAAAAAAAAAAATCACTTGTGTTAATACATACTCGCGAAAAGTAGTTATCTCTGTTTTACTCTTCAAGTCTGAAAGAAATTTATAAATGCAAATAACATATTCATTATGCTCTGAAAAATCAATTGCTGTAGTGGTTGTAGAATAGAGATTTAGATAATCTCGTTAGCTCAGTTGGTTAGAGCATGGTGTTGGTAACATGAAGGTCAAGGGTTCAGATCCCTGTATGGCCAGCTGCCAAAAAATTAATTAATTAAAAATATACCATCTAAAAAAAAAAAAATATATATATATATATATACCATCTACAATAGCAACAAAATATAAGATTTTCAGGATGAATCTAACAAAAGATGTGCAAAATGTACAAGACCTTTATGGAAAAAATCTTGAAACTTTATTGAAAAAATATTAGGAAATATCAATAAATGGAGCAATATATTATATTCCTGGATAGTAGAATCTAATATCCTAACAATATCTCCTCAAAATTGGTCTATGAATTCAATTCTATTACAATCAAAATGCCAGCGTAGTATTTACGTGTGTAATTTATATAATTCACATGGAAAAGCAAAGGGCTAAAAAATAGCCAGGACAATTTTAAAGAACAAGGTGGGTAAACTACCTCTACCAGATATTAAGTCTCACTATGAAATACAGTAATTAAGACAACCTGGCACTAGAGTAGGGATAGAAAAAAGAATGAAACAGAATAGAGAGAGCCAAGAAACAGACCAAAGCATATAAAGAAACCTGACAGGTGATGGAGGGGCATTAACTACTCAACAAATGGTTACTGGACTGATTATCCATGTGGAAAAAGTTAAACTAGATCTCCACCTCATACTATATATAACATAAATTCCAAATGAATTAAAGTTAATATGAAAAGCATAACTTTAAAAACATAAGAATATATATAGGAACATATATACAAATCCTTCATTTTATATATATATCTATATATATATTCTACATATATGGGTGTGTACGCATCATACATATGATAAAATGGAGGGTAATGGGGCAGAAAAGCATTTCTTACATAAAATGTGCAAACAAGAAAAAAAGTTCACTAACATTAAATTCAAAAACTCACATCCATCACTGCACCCCTCTCCCACAACCAGGCACATGGCGCCAGTGCCTTGGGCTCTGCCCAGGGACCATGGAGAAGGGGACCAAACACACCCCAGAACCAGGCATACCGCCAGTGCCAAGGAGCATGCCAAAAACAGCACCCCCACGTGGGTGGCCCACCACAGCCACCACAATAACCATGGTTGCTGCAAAAATGGCTAGACATCACAGCTACCAGCAGATGGTCCGCCAACCACTGGAGTGCATTCACACAAGAGTCACCAGCAGAGACAAAGAAAAGAGGATGTCTCTTTCCACAAAACCCATTTCAGAGTGACAGAAGAAGCATCTGCTCTATGATAATATTGGGGGACCTGATCACATCTTTCAGCATTGGACAGATCATCTAGCCAACAAGTTAACAGAGTAACCATTATTCTTTCAGAAGGAGAGAAGAAATCTAGGGCAATTAGAGGGGGGAGGGGGAGGGAATGGAGGAAGAGGAGAGGTTGGACAGGGGCATAAAGAATAATTATGATTTATAACAATATATATGTTAGTAATACTGATTTAATCAACATATCTCAATGTTCAACCCCCAAAATATGTATAATCTATTTTCGATTCAATAAATAAAATAAATTATTTAAAAAAAAAAAAAAAACCCTCACATCCATCAAAAGACACTATTTTTAAAAAGTGAAAGATGGGCTACTGTGAGAGTAAAACATTTGTAAAACAAAGTTATCCAAGGATTAGTATCCAGAATATATACATACACATACATATTTTTTTCTATAAATCGATAAGATAAGTAAACAATAGAAAAATTGGCAAAGGATATAGGTTATTTTATTTCATTTTTAAAAGATGACCAGTAAGGGGATCTTAGCCCTTGACTTGGTGATGTCAGCACCACACTCTCCCAAGTGAGCTAACCGGCCATCCCTATATAGAGATCCGAACCCGTGGCCTTGGTGTTATCAGCACCGCACTCTCCCAAGTGAGCCACAGGCCAGCCCGGGATATAGGTTATAAACAGGACAGGAATCCTGGATGGATGCTCAATAAACATGAGAAATATGCTTCCACTCACTAGTAACCAGCAAAATGATAGAAATAAGATACCACATTCATCCACTGAATTTACAAAAATTTTAAAGTTTGACGATGCTAAGTATTGACAAAGATGCTCAGTTTCTGGAAACTCTCAAAACAATACAAATTGGTGTAAGTGCTTTGAAGAGCAATTTGGTAGGTAAAACCTAGCAAAATGAAAGTACATGTATTCCTTGACCCAACAATTTTGCTTCTACAGCTATCTTAGAGAAACACTTGCATATATATGTATGAGATATACATATATGTATATATGATACACACACACACACACAAGAAGATATATACATGAAGGTTTTACTGCAGCATCTTGGTAATCCCCACATTTGAAAACAATATAAATGTCTATCAACAGGAAGATGAATAAACAGTGGCTTATTAATTCAATGGAAATGAATGAACTAGAACAACATGGAGAAATATCAACAATGAGAAAAGCAAGTGGAAGAAGTATATATACCATTTATCTAAAGAATAAAAACATGCAAAACAATGCTATATATTACTTAGGGATATATGTATGTAATAAAAGCATAAAGACACGAGAATGATAATATTTAAACTCAGAATAGTGGTTATTTAGAAAGGTGGAAGGGGAACAGCAGGGCTTCAACTCTGTTTTAGTCCTTAATATAGGTGGAAGCAACATAGAAATTTGTTTTAATGTTCTCTATGCCTTTCTCAATGTCTGAAATATTTCATAAAAGCAAAGTTTAAGGAGATTGTTAAAGACCACTGGATTTGGTGAGAAGAAATCCTGTGGTAATTTCTCTTGCAGAAGTTTTCGTGAAGTAGCTGTTTCAAAAAATTAAGATACATGACTATCTTAAAGAGAATGAGAATTGAAGCTGGGATGGTAAAATGAAAATTGACAAAAAGAGGAAATAGAGTGCAAGAGAGAGAATTTAAGATTTATAGATTGTAACAAGAGTCCTGAAAAGAGTTCTGTTTTCTGTAGAGAGACCACATACACCTGACTGCTTAGAGAAAGCAGCTTTAGATGAGTAGACTTTAGGATACGGAAAAAGGTAAAGTTTAACCTTAATGAGGACAAGAATTCTCTTCCCTCTGACGCCAGAGAGACTTTTGCAAGGGCTGAGTGAAGGAAAGGAGTAAAGTGAGGGGTGAAATCAGGTTTAACGCATACCCTGCGCAGAGGCTGAGCCTTTCCTAGAGCCTGGGAAGACTTTGGGCATTCAGGCGTACATATTAAAAAGTACCATCTGCCTTGGTCTCACCTGAACTGGGATTTCCTGGGCCTTCTTTCTCTGTCATCCATGGCTCTTCTCCTTTCTCCAACTGGGAAATCACAGTAGGTTTGGGGAGCTGATATCCTGCTTATGGAGTATGAAAAGAGAAGAATGTTTATGTTGGTATCTAAGAACCACCCCCAGAATTTAGTTCCAGTCTTCTGGTATTCAGGGTCTCTGGAAGTGGAATGGAGTATGATTTTCTATTCTAGCTCTATGAAGTGAAGTTGTACCCTAAGGAAGGAGAATCAGATACAGCCTGGCTTGGTTTTCAAAGGAATAAGAATCTCTAATACAGAACCCAAGGCCAAGCTTCAAGGAATTCACAACATCAATAATTTAGAAATAATGACTATCCTATAATGGGTAGGTTTTTGGGTATATGGATAGCCCATTCTTACCCACTGCCACCAGGTTCCTGTAGTTCTCCAACATCACCTCTCGGTACAGATTCTGGTGAGCACGGGCCAATTGCCCCCACTCTTCCTGGGTGAAGTCAATAGATATGTCCTTGAAGGTTAACAGTTCCTAGAATATCAAAAATATCCTTTTCAGCCAAGGACCACCCTATCAAGCTCCAAGGAGTTCTGACAGTATTCTAAGTTCTGAGAGATTCTAAACTAGTTTTATCAGGAGCCTCCTCTGGATCTGTTTTGAGATTATTATAAATAACTAAATATATAGAAGACAGATGGTCACACATGCCTTACAAAAAAAAAAAAAAAACTAAGGAGGATAAGGGGAATAGCGAGATTCATAGTGAGGTTAGGGATGATCGTTTATGTACGGTGGTTGGGGAAGGCCTCTCTAAGAGTGATATTTGACCAGAGATGAATTCAGTGAGGGAGCAAGCCATGTGGAAATCTGAGGGGAGAGCATTCTGGGCAGATGCAAAGAACCTAAACTGACAGCATCCTTGGCTTGTTTGAGGAACAGGAAGGTGAACCGCACAAGTTGGAGGCAGGTTAACGAAGGGGAGAGTGGAAGGGGATAGGATCAGGGAGGTAGAAGTGGGGGGTGAGGGAGAGAGGCTTCCCCCACCCCTAAGTACTTACTGCCTCGAAGGCCTATACATTCTGGCTGTGCTTAAATATTGGGGCCCTGCTAGAGTTTAATCCAAAGATGAACAAAACTGTCTGGATGTGTAGTCTAACCCCCTCCTAGCTCAAATACCGTAAAGATAAAAGATCAGTCCCTCAGCAATGGTGGGGGAGGGCAATGGCAGTTGAGCTAACTATAAGTAAGTTTAATCAAATTAAACCTGTATCACAGCCAGACCTCAGCCACATCTCTAGGAGGAATGTGAATCATCAGCCCCTCACCTTAATCACCAGACAGAGGAAAGGACTCAGAGTCTTGGAAATAGAACAAAACAAAACAAACAAACCACATACACACATTCTTTATCCTTCACTGTTATTTTATATACAATATCTGAACTATAATAAAAAATTATTAGATATGTGAAGGAGGAAAATATGACCTATAATTACAAAAATAAAAATCAATACAAGCAGACCCATACATGACCAAGTCATTAGAATTAGCAGACAAACTAAAGCAACTATTGTTGGAGTGAGCAGGATTGAAGCCATTGGCTTTAGTCTGGCCATTCTCCTTCAGGTTTACTGGAGAGATGAGTTAGCCTAACATCTGTCCTCAGGTCACTGGTATTCCTGAATAAAGCTTACTTCCTATTCCACCAACATTTGACTTTTGTTTGTTTTTGTTTGAGGCAGACAAAGGACTTGGGTTTGATAACAAGATTTTGTCAAGCCAAGCCCGGAGATGAATGCCCTGGGGTAACAGATATTGGCAAGCCAAGCCAGGGTTTTTGTATGGGGCAGGCAGCTGGACTTGGGTTCGGTAACACTATTAAAATGCGTGTTAAAGAATTTACAATAAAATATGGATACAATGAGTGAAGAGATGGAGATAGTTCAGGAGAACTAAAGAAATGCTAAGAAAAAAAAAAAACTAAATGAAAATTCTATAAGTGAAAAATACAATATCTGAAAAATTCAATGACAGGCTTAAAGCAGATTAGACACTGATGAAGACATGATCAGTGCAACTTTGGATCAAAAGATCAAACAGCCCAATAGATATTATTCAAACTAGAGCACCAAGAGGGAAAAAAAAAATCTGTGGGATAATATATACACATGTAATTTGAATCTCAAGAGAAGAGAGAATGGACAGAAAAAATATTTGAAAAAATAATGGCTGAAAATTTTCTCAACTGTGGGAAAAAAATCAACCCACAGATCCAAAAAGGATAAACTCAAAGAAAACCACACCTATTCACATCATGGTGAAACTGCTGAAAAGCAAAGATAAAAGAGATGATCATAAAAGTAGGCAAGGAAGGTAGGAAAGGAGGAACAAAATCACAAAAAAAAGTTGGTATGAAACAAACAGACACTACATAAATGATGGTAAGAATAACAGCTGACAATACAAGCTAAAAGATAATGAAACATCTTTAAAGTGCTTAAAAACCAGTCAACACAGAATTCTATATCCAGTAAAAGATCTTCAAAGAGGAAGAAAATATAAAGACATGTTTAGAACAACAAAAGCTGTAAAACTTTGTCACCAGAACCCCCACACTACAAGAAATGCTAAACAAAGTCTTTGGGCTGAAGGGAAATGACGCCAGATAGAGATCTAGAACTAAAAGAAGGAATGAAGAGTGTCTGACTTGGTAAATATGTAGGCAAATATGAAAGAACCATTTTTTCCTTTTCTTATTTTTTTGTATGCCAATTTACTGTTAAAAGCAAAAATAAGAACAATGTATTGTGTGGTTTATAACATGTAGAGTAAAATGTATGATGACAATAGTACAAAGAATGGGAAGGAGTAAATGGAAATATAATTTAAGGCTTTCATATTATCTATGAAGCGGTATAACATTAATTCAAAGCGACTGTGATATGTTAAAAATACATATTGTAATAGCAAAAGCAACCACTAAAAACAAATCAACAAAGTTATCTAAAACATCATTAGAACATAAAATCAAATACTAAAAATCTATTAAATCCAAAAGAAGGCAGGAGAGGAGGAGCAAAGAAACAAAAAACAGACAGGACAAACAACAAAGAACTAGCAGTGTAAGAAATGTAGGGATACCGTAGGCACTCAAGTGGGGGGCACTCCCTAGCAATATGGTGCCCTTCTGGGTTCTTCTCCACAGTAAACAAAGACCGCCAGTGCCAACACCCAAGCCCGCCGGTGCCAACACCCAAGCCCACCTGTGCCAAACCTCAGCCAGTCACAGGTCAAGGCTCACCTCCTGCCCAGCCCCGTCCAATCAGCTACCGCCCGTCCACCCCCTATCAAAACCCGGAACACAGCTCCCTATAAATATACACACAGTCCTTGAATAAAGTGGAACTTCTCTGGCGAACTGTCAGCTTGGGTCATGTCGTCTTATCAGCTCGGGTCCGTGCGCCCTTTCAAGCAGATACACTCAGACCCAATCATTTCAACAATTACTTTAACTGTAAATGGACTAAACAAGCAAGACCCAGCTGTATGTATGTATATATACATATATATATATATATATATATACACACTTTTTTTTTTTTCCCTGACCGGTAAGGGGATCGCAACCCTTGGCACGGTGTGGTCCACACCACGCTCAGCCAGTGAGCACACCGGCCATCCCCATATAGGATCCGAACCCGTGGCCTCGGCGCCACCAGCACCGCACTCTCCCGAGTGAGCCACAGGGTCGGCCCAACCCAGCTATATTTAAGAGGTTCATACTTTAAATACAAAACACTGATAGGTTTAAAGTAAAAAGATGGAAAAAGCTATACCCTGGAAACAATAATTAAGAGAACGTTGGAGGAGCTATACTAAATCAGACCAAGTGGACTTCAGGAAAAGGGATATTACTAAGCAAAACGAAGGATATTTCATAATGATAAGATGGTCAATTCATCAAAAAGACAACAATTCGGGCCGGCCCGGTGGCGCACTGGAGAGTGCGCCGCTTGGGAGTGCGGCGGCACTCCCGCCAAGGGTTCGGATCCCATGTGGAGACCGGTTCTCGCTCGCTGGCTGAGTGCGGTGCGGGCGCGACATCGAGGGTTGCAATCCCGTTGCCGGTCCCCAGTACGGGCGCGACACCGAGGGTTGCGATCCCGTTATCGGTCAGTAAAAAAGACAAAAAAGGAAAAAAAAAAAAAAAAGACAACAATTCTAAGTGTTTAAGCATCTGATGACAGAACTTCAAAATAATAAAGCAGAATTGACAGAACTAAAGAGAGATACAGACAAAACCACAATGATTAGAGATTTTCACACTCCTCTCAGTAATTGATACAACAAGGAGACAAAAACTCACTGAGGATATAGAAGATTTGAACATCTATCAAACAATTTAACCTTATTGACACTTATAGAACACTAGACCTGACAACTGCAAAATACACATTCGTTTTTAAACTCTTTAAGATACCTGTAGATTTACATGCAGTTGTAAGAAATAATACAGAGATCTCATGTACTCTCTACTGAGAGTAGAGCAGAGTATTGATTGGAAAGAGGCATGAGGGAACTTTCTGAGATGGTAAAAATGTTCTGTACCTTGATTTGGTTGCATGGTGTATACATATATCAAAATAGAACCATATACTTAAGTGTATTTTCCTGTATGTAAATTAAACCTCAATTTAGAAAAATTTAATCCTTTCCCAGTCCTAAGAATCCCATTGGTTTATGATAAATGTCAGGAAGTGAGGAATTCTAGACAGGTGGAATGTAGAGATAAGATAACTCTTTAAATAATTAGACAATTATCTTTACTTCTTCCATATTACTGTAAATAACTCTGGAATACATTTTCATCCTAGAAGGCAGAGATTAGCATCTGAACTTCTTAACTGAGGAAACTGAGATTGTAAACAGCAAAAAAAAAAAAATTGCCCCATATCACCAAGCAAGTAAAGACAAGAAATAAAATCAAACTCTGTACCACCTAATTTCAGAACGCAAGTTCTTTTCACTTAAAACTCTTCCGTCTTCCAACAACATCTCCTCTTTAAAAGTCTTTCTTTCACATTTGCTTTATAATTTTTGTTTTGTTTTGCCTATCTTTCCACCAGGTGGTGAGGACCACCACATTTCTGACACCCTGTTGTCAATGCTTTTGTGCCCAGCCTGTCTAATGTGTGCACTGTGAAATGTGGCCTGAACATTTCTTCTCTACTCATGTCTCTTTTGGCTGCAGATTGACTTCCACTCTCAATACTACACAGGTTGAGCATCCCTAATCCAAAAACCCCAAAACTGAAATGCTCCAAAATTCAGAACATTTGAGTGCCAACTTGACGCTCGAAGGAAATGCTTATTGAAGCATTTTGGATTTCGGATTTTTGGATTAGGAATGCTCAACGTAAGTATAATGCAAATATTCCAAAATTTGAAAAAATCTGATATCTAAAACACTTCTGGTCCCAAGCATTTTGGATAAAGGGTACTCAACCTGTACTAAAGGTCACCTCTTCAAG